TGGTGGTGATCACCTCCTCGTCACAAAGCCCATTCCAGAAGTCATCAGTTCTGAAAGTGTAGGCAGCCGCATAGTTGGCTAGAGAATCAGCCGCTTCATTCCCAGGAATGCCCTGGTGACCCGGGGTATGCACGGGTTCGATCACAACTTGATGACCATGCTGTAGCAGTTGATGAAGAGCTCTAGCCTTCTGAACTAGGTGACCATTAGCATTATACCATCCAAGGGCTGCTCCCGCCGCTGAGGTGGAGTCAAAGTGGTATGCAAAGCGGGGGGCGCCACAGCCAGCGAGCCCAAGCTTGTTCTCGGTCTTCTCTATCCATTCCTTCTCTTAGCAGGTCAGACAAGTGCAGCATGTGCAGGACCATCGTGAGCATCGTATGTTGGCTGTTCATGTTTGCAAAGTCCCATGCTCGCATGATGGATTTGTCAGGCCTTTTGGCTGTCCTTTTGCAGTTCCTGACTCTCCATGCCATCCGAAGCCATTCAGTGACAGAGTCGAAGCCACGATCAACACGGCTGTCTTGTCCTTGCTTGACAGCAGTCAATTCAAGGACCATGCTGTAGATGTAGTGCAGCGTTTCAGTGGACAGCAACAAACGGCTCAAGCCTGCTTCGCCTTTCACCACCGACTGTGCGATGCAAGCGGGTGTTACTTCATTCAGCACCATCTCCACCTGCTCCCACAACAGTCTTTCCAGTGCTCCTCTCTTGTTCAGCGAAACTGTGCACACTTCAAGCTCTTTGCGCTTTGCTTTCAAAGCAAAAGAGTGAACAAAAAACATTTGGTAGGGTTGGGTCTGTAGGGTAGGTATGTGGTTCTGTGTTATATGGCATCAAACAACAGCAAAAAGACACACACACACACACTTTGGCAGGTTGGGTCGGTGGGGTAAGTGGGGTTGTGTAGTCTGGTGCCACACTGCAGGTCACAACATGCATGTATGCACAAAGAGGGCGTTTAACTTTCGGCGGTCAACGAGTTGGAGATACAATGGAGCAAATTTTACGGGCGGGAAGCTGGTTGGGGGGGAGGGCACAGCGCCATGCAAACTTCTGGTGGCAAAGTGGTGCGGTTCTTCCAGTCTAGGAGTTTCTGCCCCTTTTCTGCTTGCTACTTTGCTTGCTTCCTTCCTTGCTGGCTCCCCTTGTTCCTTGCTTCCTTCCCTCACCGTTTTGCCTGCTTGCAGATTCCTAGCTTGCTTCCTTGCTTCCTCTGGTCCTGCAGAACGCAAAAAAGCACCCCAAATCAAATGGCAAGCAAAGAAGCGAAGCAATCAATGGCGAAAGTTAAAAGTAGAGTATACGTGCAAAGAGGCAAACAAGTCGAAGAGCAAACACACATAGAAAATCATCCAATATGATCATACATTAAAAGACTTTGAAGGCACAAAAACAACACCTCCAAAAAGACAAACTAATTGTATAACCAAATCAAACCATGAAATAAGCGAAGGTTGGGAGTTAACATTCTGGATTTCATGATTATTGTTCAACTCAAAGGGGACGATGCAAACTCTTGTGTTGTTCACCAACTAGGTCGTCAAGCCGCGTGGAAGCGAACGACAAGATGTTGAGCTGGCGAGTTCATGACATGTTGAGCAAATTAGGTCTTAATTTCCCCAGGTTTGAAGGGTGCATCTAAGTGGCTACATCAGTGACGTGTTGAGCTCTGTGCATGTATATGTTGAAGTTCCGATCTAGCATGATCTAGCTGAGTGCCACTAGTGGTGTTGAGCCGCGATAGAAAAGCTCTGCTTAGTGGCAAACAGGGTCCATGTTCAAATAGTCTCTCTGGGTTCATACAGCCTTCCCCGCAGTTTTTTCGCCAAAGGAGGACCGGCTCACTTGTTACCAGGTCCACCAACATAGGTAGACTATCCCATCTACTATCCAACCCCACCTTGTACTCGGAAAGTGTTTCTCTGACGTTCCAAGACGCAATGCCATGCTCGTCCGCGATGACCTCCCAGAATTTGGCGCCGATCTGATTGCCGCACCTGATGGTCGCACGTGCAGGCGCACGGTCGGTGGCGGCCTGAAAACAGGTAGTCAATTAACTGCGACACCTATAAATGGGGTTCATTGTTGTAGGAGGAAACTCTATAGTGGATAACTTACTCCACATGCTTATTTTTTTCTCTCCCTCTCTCTGGCAATTGCACTTCCAGAGTCGACTTGATAATTCCAAGGCCAATTTGGGAGGGGATGTCAAGGATGTTATGATATCCATTTTATGATAGAGGTTTAGATAATCCCCGTTGAACTTCCCATGGTCGGTCCGGGCTCCACATTCTATAGTAATAAAATGGGGGAACCTACGTACCTTTTTTGCAAAAAAAAAATGGATGACCCCAGCTAACAGGATGGACACCAGCCCACTATAGAATGGGGAGCCCAGACCGACCAAAACCAACCAAAATGACACCTTTGTAGACCTATAACCTAAAAAAATGGCCTAACCATAAGTTGGTTTACCCCACCCTCCTTCCAGACCTTCATTGTGTCAAGATAAACGCTCAAGCACACAGCTCACAAAAAAAAACATTTTATAAGGGGTCATGTTGGCAAAGAAATCTAGGCTTCTCAAAACAGCTGACAATGACCCACAACCACATTTCTCACTCTTGCTGCGCACGGTCTCTGTCTATGTTCTGCTCCTGAAAGTGTATATGCTTCGCATATACCATTGGACAATCCCCCATTCCAAAAAAAATACCATTCCGGGCTCTCCTTCAAGTTGCCCAACAAAGCCCAAACACAAAACTTCATGAACAGTCTGTTCACTAAAAAATGTCACAGCCATCCACAACACACACCCAGTTCTGGAAAAGACCAGATCTGGCAACACACACAAAAATCCTATTTAGCCAGCGTCATCCAGTGTCGGATTTTAATAGCCGACACTGGAAGTTGAGCCCAACGATTCCTAAAGAAAAAGAAGATGAGTTGCACCTTTCGGCGCTATTTTACACCTTTCGGCGTACTCGTTACAAGTAGCGTTTCTTTATTTTTTTTGTGGGCTGGGCGTGCCCAAGCTAAGGCCCATGAACGCCAGCAGGATGAAGACGATAAAGCCTGAGTCTCCTTAGTTCTTTCCTTAGTATTCTTCTCAAGAATGCTGTGCTTATAGAATGGCTGGAGTCCAGCACCTCAAACAGCCTTTGATCTGAGATTATAGGAAGATTGCCTTTCCATAGAATGGATAGGAGTCCACCAAAAGGGCTGTCCATAAATTGAGTGACCCTCCACTTTTGGAGTCTCTTCTGGAGAGCCATGTGGTTCGTAGAACCGTTCTATGCAGGAGCCTGGGGGGACTGATTTTATGGATGAACTTTTTACGAGGATTTTAGATACATATATTAACACATTTGCACCGCTTAATGATGAATCTCTCAACCGCCTCATGGAGTTTTGGATGATGTCTCATCAACCCCCCCGCACAGAAAGCTATCACCTGGGTTCAAGGGTGGAGCTGTTTGCCAAACGCAAAGGATGCGAGTATATACTCAGAATCAAGTGTGTCAGAAAACTTCACAGACTTTGTGAGTTGAACGGGCATGAAAGTTGTAAAGGTTGGCTGGGGATAGAACAATCATCCTTTGTCACCCTCTGTCAAAGTTTCTCTGTATAGATGTGAATATGGCTTTGGTTCAATAACAGGATACCTCGGCTGACCTACCTGTAAGGCCACTCGTTAAATGGTGGACCAACGGCGACCCATTCCCATATCTAAATATATGGCAATGGGCCAATGGGACCTCTTCTTTCCTTTCACACGGTGTCCATGCTCCGTGTGTCCACTCCCTTAAGACCAAGAAGGAACTGCTGTTGACAATGGCTCCACAAGCGATGCTGATCCACTCCCCCCCAACAAATGCAATCATTACGGTATAACACAAGCACAAGCACACACATTGGAAAAGAAAAGCTTCGGAACTCTGCAACGCCTGCTTTGAAGTTCGATACTGATACTGATACACCTTGAAACTCACAACCTGACTATGATGCAACCAAGGGTTTGCATGTTCTTGGATCGTCACAACCCGGACCTGCAAAACACTGGTCTAGAGCTGGACATCCCTGCTTGTGAATTCATTTACATGGGTCTTCCGAAGGTTTCGAGGCTTTGGCCTACACGAAAACGGCCTCTTGGATGACACATTGCATGATTATTCGAAGAAGTTCCAGGTAGTGTATATAGCCACTGGGTTATTTCTGTATTTGGCCAGTCCGCCTTTCTTTCTCAACTTTTCCCGATGTCTAGCTCAAGGCACTGGCCACCCTGGATGTGCACGAGCTCACGCATGGCTGAGTCGAGGCGTCACACGAAGGTCACGAGTCGGTCGCGGAGCACTGAATGTCGAAAAGGGCGCTGCGGAGAAATGTCTTTGGTACACATTGGTCCACATCCTCATGATCCATGTAGAAACAACGCACTGAACTCCTGGTTTTGCCGTGGAACGAAAATCGCACGGAAGGTCAAAGAAGCAGAACATTGTGATAGTGAAGGAACCGGGAGAAAACACATGATATTCCCGCAAGAAGAAGGTTCACCCACGGAGAAAATAACCTTACCTTCTGCAAAAACCGGAATACCAACAATTTGTTTCAACAAATGAACTGTTTAGACGTTTGGAGGGTTCACCCGAAACATTCAAACAATTAAAAATTGGCCGATGTCCCAAAAAACACCCGATGTGGAGAATCAAAACCGTTTGAGTTACCGCCAAACGTGGTAGAAACATGTAGAAAACCCATTATATTTGAGCGCACTTGCATTTAACATGCCAACCCTACCCCTTACTCTCAGAGGGTTACCGCCAAACGTGGTAGAAAAATGTAAGAAACACCCTATATTTGAGCGCGCTTGCATTTAGCATGCCAACCCTACCCCTTACTCTCAGAGGGTGTTTTTTCCGCTGGATGCTTCTACCCCCCACTACACCATCCAGTTGGGGGTGCCCAATTCACTGCCTTCGACGAAGTCGCGGCTTTGCCTCATCTTAAGATCTTCGGCCTGGTTCAGGCGGATCTGTTAAGCTGACCCGTGGGGTGGAGAGCTGGATGGATCCATCCAAATCTGGTCCTAACATCATTTTTTGAGGGGATCTGTACATATCTGTATTACTTGACCGTCTGATTTTTGGGGTCCTGGAAGGCTCTGTTCGCAAGATGTCCAACTTTGCATTTTTCCTGACGTGATTGCGTGCCATTGCTCTTGGTTCTCTGGTGAGTTGTTTCCCATGGATTAAAAGCCCTAAACACTATTTATCATTTATGGGAAACTGATTTGAATATATCCAGAAGAACAGAAGAACCGATTTTAACACCACTAACTCATTGATGATTCCAAAGAACCCGGAATCTTGAGTATATCTTCAGTATACAACGAGCGTGAAGATTGAACCCGCAGTCACGATCTGCACCCGCCTTGCGCCTTGGCCTTTTTCTTACGTCGCTTCAGCTTGGGCAGGTCCTCCCCGCACGGCGTCCCACCGTGTGGTCCGGTCACCATGATGGGGGCTTTATTCTGTTCATCAACGGTGAGCAAGTCAAATGAAGAAAAACATGGTTCTTCCCAACTGCACAGAATTTCACAGAAGTTTTGCATTTTCATCTACATGGCCATGTAAACACAACGCAAAATGGAAGCACACTTGCTGAACTGCCGCCGTCATCGTAGAGGCCAAGCATGTCCCAGGGGTTTGTGTCAAATATATTGGCAAGGGAAGCAGTTCTAAACAAACAGTGCTCAGGTGATAACAATACTGATGTTTGCTTCGTGGTGGTCACGGATCGCGCAAAATGGGCATCACGTCGCAAACTCTTCAGAGCAAAAGAACCAGCTAATAAACACACGTAGCGTAAAAGGCCGACGGAAACCAGCAATACGAGCAAGCAAGGGTTGATACGCCCGACCTCGAAACACCGGAGCATAGCAAGCAAGGACACGGGGACACAGGTGCACCCAAAACGGAGCCCCACCCGGGGTGAGAACAATAAACCAAGACAAAAAGGTCAGCTGTTCGGCGAGGGTGGCGAGTAGTAAAAGAATAAAAGGAACAGAGCGCAAAGAGGGGAAAGGGCAAAGAGCAGGAAAGAGCGGCATCAGCGCGGAGGGAGAAAACATACAAAAGCAACCGACAATGGCAACCCGCGAAGGGGGAGGACCAGAAGACGAAAAAGGGGCAACCAACAGGAAATGACGAAAGGACCCGCGCGGAACAGAATCGGACGCAGGCGACACCACCTGACAATGGGAGTGCTCCAGCTGCGCAAACTCCTCAGGGACGGCCCCCCCCTGGAACGGCCCCTTCACGAAACACATGACAGTCAGCAAGAGGGAAAAATAGACACACCTGAAAGTTCAAACACAAGACCCCACCTGAGAAAAACGCGTCTCTTGTGGAACAACCCAGCCTTCTCACCAATGTTGACTTTTAATTTTTTTAAACATGACATTATGACTAGTCTGTTTGATATCAACATTTTTTGATACCCTGGCCGCCCTGGCCTGTGGGTGATTGATTTGCTTCCCTCTTGCACCAGACCAGCAAATCTCGGTACCTTGTGGGTCCGAGCACTTTTAAATTTTTTGGCGCTGGAAAGCGTTTAAGAGCAAGCTCCAATCAATCTCGCAAACTTGGCTTAAAAAAGCAACACGGAGCAAAGGAACACACCAGTCGCGAAGCTACTGCAAGAAAAAATTGTCCCGGTCGCGGGCAACCCTCTGCGGAGATCGTGCGTGTCGAGGGCGCGAAATGCAGGATCGCGCGTGTCGAGTGCGCGAAATGCAGGTGAGAGTGCGTTTTGGCCCGGTCCGGCGCAACCCTCTACGGAGATCGCGCGTGTCGACTTTGTAGTACAACTAGTACGCGAAGCAATCTGTGGAGCTGGAAGCTGAGAACTGGCGACTTTGTAGTACTACTTGAGTACGCGGAGTATCTGGGGAGCAGGAAGATGAGAACTGGCGACTTTCTAGTACAACTTTAGTACGCGGAGTA